ATGCACAAACAATGAATCATGGAACACTTCATCTAAAACTAATGATGTAATGTATGGGGATTAACATAAGAATAAAAAAATTAAAAAAAAAACTAATGATGTAATGTATGGTGATTAACATAACAAAAATTTTTTTTAAAAATTGAACTTAAAATAAATAAATAAATAAATAAATAAAAGCTCCCTCCTTCACCAACGCTGCTTTTTAGTATTGCTATCCTATTGACCCTGAAGAGATTTGAAATAATTATTCAAACTACGAAAGTACCTGTCAGGTTACACATGTAATAAATACTGTACAAAGTTCTCACGAAGGGACTCACATCTCGGTTGTTGGGGAATCTTTCACATCCGGGTCATGACCTTTGTTTCCCCGACCCCCTCCAGCCTTGGGAGGAGACCAGCTTGCCAGCAGCTTGGAGGCAGAGCATGGAAGCCCCGTGTCTCGGACCGAGGCTGTGTCCGGGTCCGTCCCGTCGGGCAGGAGTGGAGACAGCACGGCGCGCTCCTTCTTGACCAACAGCAAGGCGTTCACAGATGTGACAGGAAGCTCTACTTCCCATCCTGAAGTTGTGCACGCTTCAGTTTTGACCCACTTCTCAGCCTCTGCCCCCCAGTCTAGAGAAAGTGACGGAGCGCTGGGCAATAGGAGCTCCGCTGAGCCGGCCACCGAGTCCTTGTCCTCATCCTCCTCCGAGAGCCTGGATTCCTCGGCACCACGTGGTGAACGCTCGAGTGAGTCTCCCCTTCCCAGGACCGCCTCCCCTCGGAGGGTGGAGGGGTCTGCGAGGCTTGGGCTCTTCTGTGGCACGGTAACGGAGCCACTGGGGGCCCCTCTGCTTTCGTCATTCCCAGGCCATTCTTCCAGTGTATAGCCCCACTTTTTTTCTGGGACCTCTCCCAGGAGCTGCTCTTGCCACCGGCCCCCCTCCCACATGCAGCTCGGGGACTTCTCTGTCCATGTCCGTCCATCCCCTGCAGCCCACCCCATGCCCCGCATACCTGCCTCCATCACACAGCTTCCGGAAGGTGGAAGTATCACCTTCTCAGGGGTGGTTGCTCACCCCAGGGCTAGACATTCCTCAAGAGCAACTCTCCCTCCCCCTTGTTTAAGCAGCTTTATGGAGATTTAATTCACATTCTATGCAATTTGCCCATGCAAAATGTACAATTCAGTGGCTTTTAGTATACTTACAGAATCGTGCAGCCAGCGCTGCTGATTCCAGAACGCTCCCACCACCCCAGAAAGAAACCCAGTGCTCATCAGCACTCGCTCCCCAATGCTCTCCTCCTCCCAGCCTCTGACAACCACTAACTTACTTTCTGTCTCTGCGGATTCACCTATTCTAGATAGTTTGTGAACGAAATCCCACGACCTGTGGCCTTCTGTGTTTTTCGCTCTGCATACTGTTTTCAGGGTTCATCCCTGTTGTAGTCTCTGTCAGTGCTTCATTCCTTTATATGGCTGATACTCCATTGTGTGCATATGTCACATTGAGTTCATCCTTTTATCAGTTATTGCACATGTGAGGCTTTCCCACCTTTTGTCTATTATGAGCAATACTACTGTGAACGTTCCAGTATGAGTTTTCGTGTGGACGTGTGTTTTACATTCTCTTGGAAATGCCGGGTTATAGGGTAGCTCTGCTTTT